GATTGCCCAGCAGGGTGAAGCGAGTGCATCCTGGCTTCGGTTCGTGTGCCGGCCGTGGCCTTTATTTACAAAAGGGAATCTGACTGGCAGATCACAGTGTGGTCAGAGCTATTAAAATCTTGGACTGCAGTGCGAAGTCTGGTACTTGCAGTGGGCCAAGATCGCATTAACAGGCTGGGTTATTCATCTGAAGTCAGAGACTCGCTCCTTGCCATGACCTACGCTCAGGCATTTCACAGAGACTGTGCTCGGACTGGGCGAGGAAAGGCAAAGACTGTTGTTGTCAGTCACGAGGTTACTGATGGTCAGGTACTCGACCAAGAGCATCCCCTGTAATGCCTTAGAGAAAATGGGCAGTGGCAGTGCTTTTGACTCAAATTAAGAGGGGAAAACGTAAACTGGGGTGTTCTGCTGGCCACGAACGAGTTACTGCGGAAATGAAATTGTGTTTCAGCTCCCTCCTTCGACCGAGTCTTGCCCTAGCTTCTCACCCTTCTACTAGAGACCAGTACGATCTGAACCTCCGGCAGTGCAGCTGATTCATCATGCGAGGAGCAGCTGTTGGCAGGATAGCAAGACTCAAGACGCAAGAGAGACTTCAAGAAATGATATTAATTTGAGGCATTCCAGGGTGGGCTGGGAAAGTTGCAGCTGCTTGGACTGTGGCGAGACTGTCAGCACCTGATAATCTTCCAACAGACCTTGCATCCACCTGTGACCCTAACCTCCCCTTGGCGGTTCTGATGTTGGTTTTAGCAGGGTTTTTCCAGCATACGTCTAGCTCCGAAGGAGGGAACCATTATTCTGTAATCTCTATCGGGGCTGTGCGCACCCGTGCTCAGACTTTCTTTGAGAGAGAGACCCGTGTATTGTTATGGAGCTGCGATTTCATCGCAGAAAGTAGTGTTTACACTAACTAACTAGCAGAAGCAGACGGCTTCTGCTCCGCGCCTTCCCCTGCCGCCAGGAACGACCTGGCGAGCGCCGCCTCGCGAGAGTGCTGCCCCTAGCGGCCGGTAGGCGAGACTCTCCCCCCTCCGCCGTGCGGCGGGAGACTCGAGTGCTACGGCTGCGCGCCGAGCCGGCGCGCGGCGTGCCCGAACGTCAGTTCTTACCTACCCGTGCCAGCGAGTGGACGTACGTGCGGTCCGCTCCCAGTCCGAGTAGTCCAGTTGTTCGGGGAGAGTTTATCTACCGTGTAATCTAGGCCAATAAACCGCTCTTACGCTAATCCTTGTGTATCCCTTGACCTCCTTCTGCCTCCTGGTAAAAGCCTAAGTCCTGAAAAAGGCCGCTTTATAATAATTATAATAATTATATATCTGCCCTAGCCGGGAGGCGTATTTACAATCCCCTGGCGTTTCAGAACCCTATGGCAAATTCAGCAGTACGCGAGCCCCCCCGGCTCCCGCCCTTAGCAGACTTGTTCCATGAGAGAAGGGCGCCCTGGAGTCCAAGCTTCGTACGGTCGGGACCGCGTCCGGTGAACTGGGGAACCAATTTACTCGATCCCTGCGCGCCACACAGCAGTGAGCAAGGTATGACAGCATTCGGGAAGGTGAACAGCATCCGGTGACACCCTTGCCAAAACTGTCCGACCGCGGAGAGCTGAGCGCCAGCGAGATAAGCGGTGCGGAGCGGCCGCGGCGGGACCTGCGTCTTCAGTCCGGCTGCGGGCGGCCGCTAGGAGCGCTAGTGTCGCGCCGAGGTACTGCCGTTTTATCCCGTCAAACCGCATCCGGACTTCAGATCAATCTGTAATATATGGTACCGGTTTTTTTTCGATGGAGCTGAATCTGAAAATAACAATTTTTTTGTGACAAGGGGGCCTAACCTACTTGGCAGCGAGCTGCTGTGCTCCTCTTGTTTTATCCTTTGTTATTACAAATCTCTACCGGTGTCATCAGACAAAGTCAGATCAAAGCCTTTGTGTTTGCCAACTGGGTCAATTTTAGTACATAGTGCTCCAACCCATCGCGTTTCAGGACCAAGTAAACATTGCATCAAATACCATTTGAGTACCTACTTGTCTGCTAATCAGCCGCTACATGTGAACACAACACCTTATACACTAAATCGCTCATTGCAGCTGCAAATTTTCACTTCAAATCGATGAGTACCTCTGTACTCATCTTTAAATTAGACAAAAAGTTACAGAGCCTATTTCTTTACTCACCCTGGGTCAGTTTGCAGTTTGCCAGCGACATCCTCGCCCATTAAAAAAAATTGCGACTAAGGTGAGCATTCTATAGTCTTACATTCTTATATTATATCCTCAGATGTTTAAAATAAATCACTACAATCTCTCTTCTCTTTTCTCGCAGGATTTGTTAATACCCCACCATGTTTTTCGCCCAACAACAACCAGAGCTGCGATCCATCTCAAGGAACGTATTCAGCCAGCATGTAATGTGAAACACCATGCCAAAAATTTGAATTATCTTTCAATTACTTATAAAGTAACCAACTTTTAACTATATGTTGCAGGACGTGAAAATTTGCAGCTGCAATGAGCTATTTAGTGTAAGAGGTGTTGTGTTTACATGTAGCAGCTGATTAGCAGACAAGTACTCAAATGGTATTTGATGCAATCATGCAATGATAAAACAAGAGGACCACAGCAGCTCGCTGCCATGTAGGTTACCTTCCGCAGCGCGCCATCATCACTTGATCCTTTCTTTACGAGTCAGAGGTAATATAGGAACCGATATGGGTCCCAAACGATAAATTTGAGTACGCGAAACTGCTCAAATGATAAATTTGAGTACGTGAAACTGCTCCCAAGGCTTCAAGTTAAATATAACAGTGGCTTAGGCATCACTGTGCGACATGCTGATCAAGGGCCTTGGGATGACGTTCGCCTCCGACACCATAGGGCACTTGGCAAGTTAATTTGTGCAAGAGGTCAAAATTAAAGGAGTATTTTCTGATTTTCTAGCTTTGAGTTAATATGACGATTTCAAGCGTCCCCTAAAAGCGTCTATCCCTTGGTGTCTCCGATGCTGCGAACAAGTCTGCTGGCGGCGGGAGCCGGGGAGGCTCGCGTACTGCTGAATTTGCCATAGGGTTCTGAATCGCCAGGGGATTGTAAAAACGCCTCCCGCCTCCTGCGGCCACATTAGGTAGGCAACCCAGCACATCGGCTGCGCCAAGGGGTCGCCTAGCGAGCGGGCGGCTGCAGTCACCACCTAGCCGCTTGTCGCTAAGGCAGACAGCGAGCGCGGGGCCGCACACGAGACAGTTAGAGGGGGGAGGCCCCCCCCCCCCCCCCCCCCAAAGACGTGTGAGAGCAGGCAGACCCGCACGACCTCTTTGTGAAGTGTACCCCGGTCAGGTCATTCTAGGCAAGAACGGGTGTGCGGAATTGCAGGCACATTGAGACATTCTTGCAGGCTTGCAGGGTCCGGGGTGTATGATGAGCGCCCTTGTTGGAGAGTGTACTGGTGGTGGTGCACAGAGCATGGGGAAGTTGATGATAACTTGCCCCGGCGCGCAGCCTTCTGATGCGGGCCGGCCTACCCGTCGCGAACTCAAGACTTAAGTCATCCCCCCCCCCCCCTTTCCCCATACACGCACTGCAGCGCGATTAGAGAGCTCACTCGTGCGAGTAAGCTCGCTCGCTCGCTCACTTAGCGCTTTAAATCTCTTAAAACTGTAAGGGATTGTTGATAATGAACAAAATTGTACAGTGTGAAGAAATTATGAAAATCTTAACTGAATTGCGTGTTTAAGAGAAAAGAAAAGCCACCATAAGGAGGCGGCGTGCGGCTCGGGGAGCGATCGAGTGAACTCTCTAATCGCGCTGCAGGTGTCATCATCGTATGCCAGCCAGACAGGCTACAATGCATACAGTAGGTGTACGGCCGTTTAAGGATTTAAAGTATTAAAGTAAAACCAGGAGTGTGCCTGGGAAGGGTGCGCTAACCATGCCCAGCACAGATTTCTGCTTCAAGCCTTCGCCGTAGTGCTCGTACTCAAGGGTCTCCCGCTCGGCCTCACGTACGTCACGCTCAAGCTGGGCCACTAGCGTGGCACTTGGAACCCCTCGCGACTAACGGGCAGGTGCCAGTCGGTGCTGCTCTCGGCTGCTCTCGTCCGCCCCGCTCCGTGTCCCTGAGCACGGAGCTCTACCGCCCAGCCCCGGTGGCCACCGGGGACACCCCTGTCGCTACGGGGCGCTCATTCGTGAGTGTCAGCGCATGTGGGAGTTCCTCCGCACGAGGCCACGGATATTAGACATTGAAACGCTGTCAAAATGACGTCGAATCGATGTGGAAATGGCGAAATCGACTTAGATTCCACTTTCGTTTTCGAGTGGGATGAGGTCGCGACGTGGAGCAGTGCGCTCAGGTACGCGACCAGCAACACTCGAACTTCGTGCACTCACTACTCAGGCCGGCTCGGACGACACCTGCGCGATGTTCCGGAACCTCTTGAATCGCAGACGGAAGGCTGCATCACCATCAGAGACGGAGGAGCCACTCAAAGGGGTGCGGCCTGCGCATCATGTAGTGCCGGGCTGCTGCTGGGCCGAGCAGGTGGTGGTGGCGTGAACAGTCCACGTGGGGGTGTAGCCTCAGCTGGAGGATCCGCAGGGCTGGCGCCGTTTCGGGCGTGGTTCTGTGAGCAGCTCGTGCAGCTCGGCCTTGATTAAGTTGACGCGGAGCGCCAGCCGCAGGGCGGGCAGCGAGGGCAGCGCGCGAAGACGGGATGAAGGACATGGAAACCTCCTGCTCGTCCCCGATGAACAGCTTCTCCACCTGAGACCGCCCGGACGAGACCAGCTGCTCGGTGACGTCAGTGAAATAGAACAGGTGGACGGAGCGCAGCTGGGCAGCGCGGAGCAGCAGCCACAAAGTACAAAATATAACAGTTATTCCGGCTTTTGTGGCAGGAGCCTCCATTTTCAAGACTGATACTACGCAGTGTGTGTGTCTCTTTTTATAGGGCCTGCCTGCTTCTCCCATGCGCGAAAAAAAAAATAGGAAGATGGGTCCACCTTAGCTATGAGCCAGTTCGTCTAGAACCTCAAGCAGTTCCTGGTCATCTTGGTCCCCTTGCCAAGCTGTATAACCGTGTGGAACGGTATTGCCCAGATCTACCCTGCGCCGTTTCTTGTTGACGGCCTGCCATGTTTTGGATGTGGCTCGTGTCACAATCTTCCATGCTGGTAGTCTAGCTATTTGCTTTGGAATAGGGACAAGAACTTTCTCTCTTTTTCCCCTTACCATTTCCTTTAGTTTGTCAAATGTGACGATATCTTCACAGGACGTGTTGATACTGACACCGCGCACCTTGATGCACACCTTTATGTTGTTCGGGTCGCCGTTCTTCGCGACCTTGTAAGCGTAGTTTTTTGGTCTCCCGGCCAGGAATTCCAAAATGTAGGAATTTTCTCCATGATCCTCGACAATCTGGTCAGTGAGATCACCTAAGTGAGAACCCAGTTGTAGGTCATCCTCACCACGGCGGCTTATGTATCCTACAGAATCGGTATCACAGTAGATTGCGCGGTCTTGCACCCTGTCTAGGTATTTGAACAGCTGGAGCCTGTCAAAACAAGTGGTGAATGCCGCGTGAAGGAGTGACGAGGAGGGGAGTGATTCATCAGAATCTTCCACTGGCATCCCAGAGTTGTGCACGCGAGGCAAGATTTGCCTCGCGCTGCCTCGCCGATTTGTCCGCGAGGCAAGCGCCTTCGGAGAGCGCTTGCCTCTTCGGGCCTCTTCGGGACTGGACCGCGCGAGGCAGCCTGCCTCGCCAAGCTGCGAGTGACCGTGGCTCGCGCTCCGGGCGCCACTCGCTGCCACCCTCGTTTTTGCGTGGCTTGCAAATGGCAGCACCGATAGTTTGGCGGGAAAGGTGTGAGGTGGCCACTGGTCATCTCCAGCTACGCTCTGCGTGTCTCGGCCTGCCTTGTTGCTGCCTCGTTGTTCGGCAAGGCTCGCCGGGCGGGCGAGGCTCGCAGAGCTTCGGGGAGCGAGCGCGAGGCGAGCCAAGCTGGTGCACGGCCGCGAGGCAGCGCGAGGCAAGATTTTGCCTCGCGCGCACAACTCTGTGGCATCCACGTAACTTGTAGACAGTTTTCCCCAATAGGAACCAGTGCTGTGACTTCCTTAACAGGATCGGTCACTATCTCCATGAGGTCTGCATAGTTGTAAATGAACTCAGTCTTAGGACGGCAAGTTCGCTCCCCAAACTTTCCCCAGAAACTGTTAAGGAACAATTTACTGAGTTGTCGAATAGGCCCGTTCTTTTCAACCAGGTCAGGGTCGATAGTAATGCCATCGCATTTCTTCACGTCTTCCATGATCTTTTGCTTGTCTTCAGGAGTGACACAGCCGGCAGGCCAGCCGCTAGCTTGCAGTTTAAGTGCCATGAAGCACCTCACATAGGCAGAGAAAAGGCCGTCGGTGTCTGTCTTGGGGTCGAATTGCATAGTTGAGGGATACTGATAAACCTCGTGAACAGATATCAGCTGATATCCCTTTTCTTGAATGGCTAGGACAAGCTCAGGAGAGCACCATGTGTCAGTAAGTTGGCGGTCCTTAGGATCGTCATGCTGGCACTTGTCCTCACTGAGGGTCTCCACGCATGTTCTGCACAAGGGAAACATCAAACGCCCACAGGCTCTGTAGGGCAACAGAGGGACAAACATGTCACAAGGCGGTAAGACCGTGCACTTGACAACCCCATTCCATTGGTCAACCGGAGGCATGTTTGGATTGCCTTGTAGGTACAGAGTAGGATGCCCAAATGGATAGCTGCCTCTGAGATTAGCATTGGGGTATTCAGACACTACGTCAACCAACATAATTTTCTCGCCTTTTGCTAGGTCGGCCTTGTAGTACCACTTCATGGCACTTGTGCGGCCACCCGCCAGGGCATCTCGCAATCTGAGGGGCGTGACACGAGTCGTGGGGTGTGTTTGGAAGTAAGCCTTCACTTGTGGACTATGTTCAAGGTCATGTTTGAAGGAACATTCCCACTTCTCAATCACTTTGTAACCGGCTTCGCGAAACAACTCTGTCGTCTTTATGGTATTTGCATAGCGGTTCTCCCCACTGCCCTCTGTGGCTGGGAGGTGTTGGGGGCACTGATGCCAATAATCTCCGTGAAACTGATAGATACGTTTCTCTATTCGCCCGGAAGGTAGAGTGATTTCAATGTACCCATCCATGCGTCGACCCAGCACTGAAACTTCCCTGTGACTGTAAATAGTTTGAATAACCTGTCCAAGAGGGTGTGATTCGTAGTCAAGCCACTGGAGAGCCATATGGCTTTGCTTTCCACGGCCGTGGTAACCCTCAGGTGGGACCATGCCGATGGTATCTTGCTTAAGGAAGTTTCTCCTGTATGCTGCCATACACGCACGGCTCAGCGCGATACAGCTGAACATGGGATCAAATCCTGCTGTCTGTTCGAAGAGCTGCCTGAATGCGTGGCATGCCTGGCGGAGTATTGTAACATCTGATATGCAGTATGCCAAAAGCTCTTGTCTAAAATTGAATACTGTGTTTTCAGCGACCTGCTGATCATGCCATGCATTAAACTCTTCCGCGGCTTTACTTTTCATAGTGCCGATGCAGTATTCACTCTTTGGAAGCATGGGGCCCTCATAATTGAAATATTCGGGTTTTATGGCTAGGAAAGGAAACCAGCCTTTCTTGAGTTCATGCAGTCCGAAAGATTTCGGCATTGCACTGAGTGGCATAGGTAGGAATGAGAGCGAGTCAATAAATTTCCATGTCCCTCGTACAGTCATGCTTATAATTTTTGCACCCTGCAGTATGATGTCTACTTTCAGTGACCGGGAAATTATTTCCTGGATGAAGAACACAAAGTCGAAGCTCCGGCCATTATGGGTCATAAGTAACAGCTCTGTTTTGGGGCCGAATGACTGCAGATAGTTGATGAATTGGGCAATGACATCAATATTCTGTTCATCCAAGTTATGAAAAATTTGTTGGCGAGTTTTGCATGTCGGGCAGAAATAGTCATTCTGTTCAATATGTGCACAGTCGTCACAGACAGCCTGAGAGACAAGCAAAACAGGTTTGTGCTCAAAGGTGCCTGGTTTTCCCTCCACAGGGGTCGCCTGAGAAGTCTCAAGATCGAAGTACAAGTTTACATATTTAACTTTTGGCCTTTTTGGTTTTCTGTCCAATTTTGCATATAACATAAGTGGTTCTCGGGTACGTTTTTCTTGCACAGCTTGCAATACACGTTCCCGCACTCGTGTGTCTGCCCCCGCCTGAGCGAAAAGCACCTTTTGCAACCCCCACAAAACTTAAATGCCTGACATTTTGTGAGCTCACTACGAGGGAGCTTCAGTGTCTTGTGAGTCTGCAGACATTCATTCCCCGAAAACTGATGGAGGCAATCAGGACAACGTGTCAGAGCATTACCCTCGTGCATCGTGGGTCCAAAGCAGCGCCAGCACGATCCAGGGCATTTGAGTGAGCCCTCATTGTTGAAGAAAGTCACACAGCGTTCGCAAACAAATCTAAACTCAAAAGCCTGGCATGGCGAGAAGATGGCGTGAAAATGTCCCCCATGGAGTAGCAAGTAAATGTTTTTGCGGGTGGCTGTGTGAGGCCCCTTGTATTCCTATTCCCCTGTTTTGTTTGTGAAAACACAGAGGCGGTGGTCAGGTAGCAACTTCCTGACCTCCTCGATGCCCGCGGGGCGATTTTCTAGAATGTGTGCAAGAGCACACAGACGCTTAGCCTCATCCCTCTGAAGATCAGACCCTGCCTTCTTCATTTTGTAAAGTGCATTTCTCGTCATGCCTCCGCGTGCAATGGCTACAGCCACACTCCGCGTGAGACACATGGAGTCATTGGTGTTAGAGGGAGACCATATAGTTGATGCGTCAATTTTCCTCTGAAGCCACTGTTCGGTACTTTCATTAGGCACACGATTGGTCCGCCTGCCTCCGGGGTGTGGCATAGGTATGTATATATAGGACACCCAGAGCTGACCGTCTACCATAAAGTCCTGATTTGAATTGAGAACTCTGGAAATCCTGTCAAGGACGACCTGGCCATTCAACTGATCAGAATTTCTCAGAGAGAGCCAGATGGGGTTTTCCTCATTTTCACTGTTCTGAATCTCCAAAATGACTTTGTCAGTGTCCCTTGCCCCAACCGCATCTCTTTGCCTCTGAATGATCTCATCAAACATTGAAACCATAGTGTCTTCTTCGGGGAGAGAGGCACCTAAACCCCGAATGGCAATGACTTCTTCTCGAAACTTGGTTTTATTGAAACGCTTGAATTCGCGCTCTCGTGATTGTAAGACTCGAAGGAAGGGTGGGGACATTGCTAGCGTCCTCCCCTTCCTCCCCTTCTTCTTCTTCCCTTTGTCGCTTGGACGCAACAGGGGATCGAGAAGGCCCTGGCTGAGGAGAGTCTGGTTGAGTTGCATTGCGTGGCGTAACAGGGGGTGGGGAGGGGGTGGGGCGGTGCGGTGGCGAGACGGATGTGTCAGCTGCACCACCACCACCTACCATGGACAGAGCGAGGTCATAAGTGAGCTTAGCGTGGGGATCGGCATCCATTTGATCCCTGAGGTAAGCGTGATACCCTGCGGCCAAAAAATGAACAAGGCGGTGATCAGCACGATCCTCAGCAGAGGAGCCAATCAGAGATCCCAAGAGGGTGGTGTATGCTTCTGACATGTACTGATCTGTGAAAAAGCACCCATTTTCCCATTCGTCTAGGATCTGATTGATGTCGGACTCCATTGTGCCACCCCGTGCGCGCCCTAGCGGTTGTAAAATGAGTCTTTGAGTGTTTGCCTTAAAAAAGACAGAAGTTAGTCTTTTGGAGGGTTGCCTTAAAAAAGGCAGTCTGGTTAGTCTTTTTGCAGCGTCGCCTTTAAAAAGGCAGTTTAGTCGCCATGACCCTCCACGTTGTCCTCAGCCGTCGTCCGCCGCGAAGTCGGGGAGAGCCGTCGTCCTCCGCAAAGTCCAGGAGAGCCGTCGTCCGCCGCAAAGTCCAAGAGAGCCGTTGTCCACCGCGAAGTCCAAGGAGAGCCGTCGAAGCGCCGAAGCGAAGTGATGATGGCTCAGCGGCCGCGCTCTGATTATATACCCGCGCCTCACCGCCTGCAGTTGCCTGCAGCGCCACCTATCGGCGACTGCTCGAACTAAACAGGTGCGCAGCTGGCGCGCGCCTGCTGCGCACCCACTTGTTCAGACATGCTCGCGGCTGCTACGGCACACGCAGACTGCGCAGCGGGCGCGCTCGCCCCCCACTACGCCCGAAGTGGTGCGGCTCGTCACGGCCGGGGCGGCGCGGGGGGCGGCGGCGGACCTCGCGACGCAGCGAGGCCGGGGCGGCGCGGGGCGTGGGGCGGCGGCGTGGGGCGGCGTGGCGGCGGACCCCGACATGTCTTGACGGGTAGGTGTGCAACCAACGCGCACCCGTTGTGCATCGACGTGTTCAAACAAGTTCGCGGATACGACGGCGACCTGCGGACTGCGCAGCCAGCGCGCGCCAGCTGCGCACCTGTTTAGTTCGAGCAGCCGCCAATAGGTGGCGCTGCAGGCAACTGCAGGCGACGAGGCGCTAGTATATAATCAGAGCTCGATCACAGATCCAGTATCACTTTGCTTCGGCTTCTCACTTGATACACTACTCTCTCCTTTCATCATGACATCCAAGCGACTCTCCTTGGGATCTAAACGGCGTATCGACTTCGGCGCAGCGCCGCCTCGCAAGAAGCGCTCACAGCTTCAGGAGCTGGTTGAAAATTTCAACCCCGATGACGACTTTGATCTCTTGGGTCAGGATGAGGGCGACTATGGTCCCAACACGTATCTTCTTATGACTCAACCCTCGGCTCCGCTCACCCTGGACGCACCCTCTGCTCCTCCCCTTGAGCAACAAAGTTCAGGCCCTGCACCCCTTGTCTTTGGGCAGTTACCTGGATCCGCCCCTCTCCCTGACCTTGCCCAGGTTACAGCCCCACCTCAGACACCCCTCATACAGTCTGGTTCCACCCCTGTTGACTCACAGTCACTGTCGTTTGATCTTGACGCCATCTGTAACAAGGCATTCGACCAGGCTGCACTTGATCAAACAATGGGACAGATAAATCCCCCCGTTGAGAACAAGACTTTGATTTCTGTGCCTCTCAAAAGCAAATTTGATGAGGCTGCTTGTTTTCCCTTGGAAGTCCTGTCCAAAGACATTAAACTGACTAAAAACAGTAGCAAATTGGTGAGACTGGGTGTGGATGCTCTCACATTTACTCCATATGCCATGGTAATGGGAGAACAAAACACAAAAAGGAATCGTCCCTGGGTTCGACTTTCAATTGATGAATTAAATGTTCTCATTTCATCAGAAATCCACACACACATCCTCTCCCTGCTAACTTCTCAGGCACATGTAACTGCTCTACCTATTGGCAGCTTACTTCTGAGCATTAAAGTCAATGAAACTAAACCTGAGTGGACCACAGTTTGCATCACAAGAGAAAACAACCCCATAAAATTATTCTTGGCTGCTAGCTCGTGGAAAATGTTGTTCAGAGCAAGAGAGATTATCAATACTACACTAAGTGAAGTGCCACAACATATTTTCCTAACCTACTTGAACAAGTTAAAAACACTTGTGTCCAAAAGGGTTATGACAACCCCACTAAAATTCTGAACATCAAGTACGAGGAGTCAGATTCACTCCTATCTGAGGCATTTAGCAACACAGACACTCTATTTCCCCGAACACTTTTGACTGAGCTTGTTTGCTATCAAATAAGTTTCATTAAAGAAAAACTGTTTTCAGCTATGAGGCAGTGAGACTCACAAGTGCTGACATAAAAAATAAAAACAAAATACAAAACTAATAAAACATTTTAAAAAACCCTCATAAAAAAATGATTGTTTCATTTATAATCAATACACTCCCATAATAAACGAACTTGATGCACACTCCAGTTACGTCAAAGCTGAACAGAATCAGTCTCCCTTTCATCACATCATTCTACAGAGGGAAAAAGTAATGCAAATGATAACACAAATTGATGCTTGTGGCATTTCTTTAAAAAGATGTCAATTAAGTTAAAAAAAAACACACAAACAATATTTTCATAATAGACAGATTACATACAATCTTTTGTTGATCAAGAAAAAAAAAAATAGACTCTTTTAAAAGATGGCAGTATTTCAAAATGGAAAGATTACATACAATCTTCGTTGTAAAATACACTGTTTAAAAATATGGCAATCAAGTAAAATGCACAAACTTATGCATTAAAAAAAAATAAAAAAATGACAATCTTAATAGATACAAAACACAGCAAAGTAAAAAAAAAGGCAATTAAGCACACTACTTCTTCTTCTTCTTATCCTTCTTCTCAGTTTCATCGTTCCTCCTCTTCCTCTTCATTTTTTTCTCGGCCGCTTTTTGCGCCAAGTAATGTTCATAAGCTGCCTTCCTTCTCTCATCTAAAGTCCCTCGAGCCATCCTCTCAAAGAGCTTGGTATCATAGTCAGGAGGGTTCTGAAATGTAAGATTAAAATCTGAGTTTACTAAACTGACATTATTTTCTCAGCAATTTAAAAATAATAATAAATAAAAACAAACACAACTTACGTGCAAAATAGCCTGGCGGGGCACTGGCTGTTCATTTCGCGGGGGGTTTTGGGGGACCACCCCCATGGGCTTTACTAGCGCCAAATTGCCCGGCAGCTGGGCTGTTGGGGGCCTGGCCGGTGGGGTGATGGGGCGACTAGGAGC